TGATTGCTGATGAATTAAAACTATAGAAAAGCTAATAATAAAACCTGAGATTAAAACGCTTGCTCCATTTATTAAAGAAATGTTATTTTCAGGATTACATAGATTGCAAGTTAAACTAGTACGTGTGTGTCAATCATGCATTAAGCTCTACATTTATTCAAGCTATTGTTACTAAATGTTAATTATTCAAGCAGTTTATTTTATCACTGAATAAAGGATATTGAAATTAAAAAAAAATTAACAGAATTAATATTGTGTCAGAAAGTTTTGCATTCGAGATCAAATCTGGCTTATTTACATACTGGAACATGTCACATTCGATTTAGACATTTGGGTCAAATCCTAGAGGCACTCCATACGCCCTCTGGTAGATACTTCACGGAAACCTCTGGCACCATCCGCCTCCTGGTGGCACTCCTTGTTACTATTAGCGTAATACGTCATTATTATCTCACAACTCTTTCCCCTTCATGCCATCAGGTGTTGCAGCGTATACTACTGGACTCTTTAACTATTACATAGTTCGTCCTCCTCCCCAAAAAACAACAACATAAGACTACGAGCACTTAAGATCAAATTGAGTTTGGTAATACATATTGCAGTTATCAAGGTTTGATGGAATATTATGAGTTTCTACACTTACAACTATTCACAAAGTGATTTTTTATATATATATATATACAAAGAAATTTGTTTGGATTGTTATATTTCAAGTAATTTCGGATAGGAAACGTTTATCTTGTCTCTGTGTACGATTAACTCCAAAATACAATACTAGTTAGTAGGGATGCACGGGTAGTAAAATTTGGCCGAATACCGGGTCCGGGCACCCGGTCACTAAGCTTCGGCCGTGGCCGGGTGTTAACCGGGACCGAGCTCTCTTCTTGCCTGACCCCCCCAAAAAAAATTAGAAACAAAAACAAAATTGACGTTTATTAAATTTAACCGAATAGTCACCAATAGAACATTCAAGTTTTACCTTCAACTTTCAATGCCTAGCCCCAACTTCTCAAACCCTGACCCCCACCTTCCCCAGAAATCCACTTCTCAAGCCATGCCTGTTATTAATCCCTATTGTTCTCTGAATCCCTGACTTTCAAAGGGCGGCCAGTTTTTGTTGCTAGTAACACTTTTTTATTAACTAAACTAATTATTGACTGTAACTTTCAGTACCGTGTTATTTGCCACAAAGATTAGGGCTTAGATGCCTAACTTCGACACTCGGTGGGAGCCGAGTATTACCGGGTAGCCCAATACCCGGCTGGGGCCGAATAGCTGGCCGGGTACCCGTGCATTCTTAAGAGTTTGCCCAATTTAGCTTTTCTTCATTTGGAAATTAAGCATTAAATAAAAAAAAAAAAACATTATTTAGCCTGAGCAGATTTTTCTCGTTGTTAAGCTTGTTGATATTCTCGATGAAGGAAGATGGTACCTATATTTTATTGGATAATTTTCATCTCGTTATTTCTCGTGAGTCTTTTATTCCAGGCGATAGGTCAACAAAACTAATGTTTTGTGTAGTTATGAAACTCTTTGGCGACTAAGTGGCGACTAACTACACAATATATTAGTTTTGTTCACTTATCGTCTGGAATGAGAGACTCACGTCTTAACTTAACAGAGTTTGTTGACTTCCCCTAATAATCTTCAATCTGTTATGGTCAATACTAATTAGTTACGAAAACATCTGATAACGAAGTTTGGAATCAACCCGTTTTTACAATAAGTAGAGACATTCCATGTTGTGCAGAAATTAAAACAATTCAACTTCAGTAAATTGAACAAAATTTGGCATTTTTTGTGCGTTTTTGCCGAAATAAAGAAATATATTTATCTTGTTTGTTTGTGCATTTTTCGAGCAAAGCCACATTGGGCCATCTGTTGTGTCTACCGCAGGGAATCGAACCTCGAATTCTAACACTGTAAGTCCATACATTTACTGCCGTCCCGCTGGGTAAAATGGTTTATCTGCCAACGTACATTAACGCGTATGAACATTTGCTCATTGTGACCAACTCATTCTGTAAAAAAAAAACTAGTGGCTCAGTGGTAGGTCTGAAGACTTATAACGCTAAAACCGAGTTTCGATCGCCCATTATGTAGTTTTGTACTTAGCAACAAACAAACAAACATTTTGCAGATTATAATTTTCTTACAAATTTAATTTAACTTTAAAAAATAATTCTGTTATGTTTACATCTCACATCTAAGCTTTACTGTCGATAACGTTACTAACAAATGAAAGCAGGACCTCTGGAATATTCTTCTTTACTTTGGGAGATAAAACATCTTTGAAAGAAGTTAACGCATATGTTGTTTTTCATGATTCTGATCCTTACTAGTAAACTGCTTTCAAAGGTCTATGTATGTTAGTTTCCGTTTTCATTAGTTCTCCCAACTGTTTTCACAGATCCATGTTATTCAGTATGTTAGTTTTCGTTTTCATTACTCCTCCCCACTGTTTTCACAGATCCATGTTATTCAGTATGTTAGTTTCCGTTTTCATTACTCCTCCCAACTGTTTTCACAGATCCATGTTATTCAGTATATTAGTTCCGTTTTCATTACTCCTCCCAGCCTTCCATCTTATGATGATCTCCTTATCTTTGTTACACACAGAAAAGTAACATTGGTTTTAACTGTCCTTCGAAAATACAAATATATTAGTACTGTTAAAATGTAGTCTCCTAATACTTTATTCTCCTGCACTCAATAACGTGTTATGAGTGTGAACATTTATATGTTAAACAACCAGCAACAGTTGAAAGAAACGCCTGATAAACATATAAGGATCTTTGGAATTCGGATGTGGTTATCTAACGTCTTCACACTTCAATAATCTTCAACATTAAGCTAATGCTGATTAGTAACTAAATATATTACTCTTTTTTTTTTACTTGAAAGTGGATTACAAAGCACAAGTACTTTGAAGAGCTCTCAAACATTTTAACTCTGATATATCTGTACAAATTTCCTTTTGATTACTCTAGAGATTTTCATACTCAGGTATTGTATTGAGCCCTCGCTACGTAGTTTAAGTTATTCAATCTACCTGTAGGAAATTGAATTGATATCTTTACATTCAGTTTCTACAGTTGAAGAACTAAGTGCTTTCCTTAGATATTTTATTGAAAACGTTGAAACTCTTGAGACGCACTAATGAAACAATACTTTTTAATTAAGCTTGTGAAGTTAGCCTGACAGTCATTTATTTCTTTAGAGTATATTAAGTTTTGTCAGCTGAACACGTGTAATCCAGTTAGCAAAGTTTTAATTATATTTTTTGACCTAAAATCTAATTTGGCACACTAATTTTGTTAAACTGGGAAGATTAAATCTTGAAAATAAGGGGGGGGGGAGGATGACAATAAAACGATTTAGTACGTTTGAATAGTGCGAATAACAAAAACAACATTAGCGTGCGTGAGATTTTCTTTTTTGGAACTAAGTTAAAAAGGAATAAGTCTGATTAACCACAATAAATATGTTTTAAGACAAACATACAACATATTCAGTCCTTAAATTTATTTTATCTTTCGACCTAAGACATCGTAAATAAAGCAAGCGTAGGTTTCTCGCAATAAAATATCGAATTTTCAGTATTAAGGCAGACACTATAAGTTCACGATTTATGTCACTTGAGATAGAAAACCTCTCTAAGAAAAATCTTTATTGACTAAAGTAACGTGTTTTTACAGCCATTATCTTTAGTGGAAAGAAACAAAACATTCCCGGTACAAAGGAGCAAAAGAACTATAAATATAGAATCCCGAATACGTTATTCCACGTGCGTACAAATCGGATGAAATCCTATTAAACATACGTTGTACATTTGAATTACGGCTTTTTATACCCAATATTCATTGTCGTTTCTAAGCATAATTGTTTTGTGTGTGTGTCTGTGTGAATCGAATTTTAAATACGTTTTTGAACTATAAGCATGCAGTCACTCTAGAGAAGAAGATTGAAATAATTATTGTATTTGAGTTTCTTGAATCATTTTACTTAGATTAATTTAAATATGCGATTCAAAAATATATATATTCTAATTTAATAAATATAGTTTATTAAGGAAAAAACACACAAATACACACCAGCTGAAGACAATTATTTTTTCTCGGCTTGTTTACTAATATTTCATTTGAACATCTGGAAAGTCGTAAAGACATGAGAATAGTTATTCACCATACAAAACACTACAGGACACTAGATAAGAACACTGGCATTGATATGCATGGAAGTGGCTGGAACACGAACTTACAGATGGATTTGTAATGGTCATCTATTACTTTGCAAAGAGTCACTTGTTCTAAATGCGTATACAACTTACTTTTTTATTATACGAAGAGTCAACTAGAACTGCAGTGACAAAAGTAATACGATTTTTATTTGAAATCTTAAAATCGTTTACATTTGGTTACTCCTTATGGAATTAACAGAAACGATTAAATTGTGTATTTTTATATAAGATAGAAATGATGGTATATAAGAATGGCACTCAGAAAGCACTTGATACGAGTCATTCTGAGTACACACACACACACACACACATATATATATAAGAAGCCTTTGTTGTTTTTAATGGCCGGAAGAAACAGCTCATGAACGTATCCTTCGTAGGACTCCGAATTCACTCTTTTTCCTTGACACACTTATAGCTTTTTGTGTGTTTAATTTGATCCAAAAATAATAACATCAACCCAGTTCCACACTTTTCTTTTTTTGTGATTCTATTAAATCAGTCAATTAATGTTAATATATTTTGGCCAGGGAATATATTTTGGCCACATTAACACTTAGTGACACTGATAATCACAAGAGCTTCGTGATGTCACTTTGTGGCCGGAGCTATGATTAGTATGTGCTAAGTTTGAAAGAATAAACTTTCGAAACCAATAAAATTTAGTTTATGTCTAGCCCTCACTTACAGAAAGTTAGCTCACAGAAGTTAATCGTAAAAATTTCTAACACTTAAGCAGTCGATTAGCATTTGGGATGTTTCACACTCTCATTTCTTCAGAAGTATATCTTGAAGGTGGCGCCATCCTGTGATAAGTACGGTGTAGCAGAGCTTGAGTCTCAAATAAAGGCTTCTCTTCAAGAGGGGCGTAGATTAGCTTTAGAGGTATCTTTGGAGGTGTAAGTAGTGGCACAGGAGGAGGTGGAGGAAGTTCTTGACTGGACGAGGATAAGGGAAGGAAATGAGGAGGAAGTTCTTGATTGGACGAGGATAAGGGAAGGACATGAGGAGGAAGTTCTTGATTAGACGAGGATAAGGGAAGGACACGGGACACTTGTTTAGGTTGAAAACTTGCGGTGTTGTCAAATTCTTGCACCATCTTGAGCTGTTTAAATTTAAAATTGACTGACATCAAAACCGTATAAAGAATTTTAAGTCCCTCCCTAATCTACTAGTATCACAACTAAATATACATATAATCATACATCTAAGCTGCAAGAAAAAATTCCAAATTAACAGACGTAGGGAGTTCTAACACTTTCTTAATTTATGTTCACTAAAACATAGAGTTTTAAGTCGATGATATTTTGAAACTAGAGTTCAGATGAAGAAAAAAAAACCTATATTTTGGAAAACGAAATATAGTAAAAATCATTTTCCGTATACATTTCTCAACTTAAAGATTTAAACAGTGTTCTCCCAAGAACGTTTTAAGGTAGCAGTTGGTGGCATGAATTGAGTAGAAAAGCTACGAGGGGTATTTGAAGATACATTCCTAACATGTGGGTTGGACAGATTGTTAGATGATCTATTTAATTCCGTGAAATAAATTTTGTTTGAGCGTTTGTAGTTTTTATTTGATAACGGAGTTTAATTTCATGATTAGGAAGTTGTTAAAAAATATCTAAAGATACAACTTAAACTTATGTGCAGGAAATACAGTTTGTGATGTCATTTCCGTTGGTATAGCGGAAACTTTCAAATGAGTTGTTTAATGATACAACAGAAGATCAGGTGAATTATCAAGTGGTGTCGTTATTGTCAATCAGTGGGTTTTAATATCACAATACGCTAAATTTAAGTATCCCAAATTCATAGCCTAATGAAAGAAATAGCATTTCGCAGGATAGCTTTAAAAAAATTTAATAGTCTAACAAACTACTTTACCAAACAATCCACTAATTTAGTATTTTAAAGTATGGAAGATTTCAAATACTATAAAAGTATTTTGTTTTTACCTTGTAGTTGTTTTTGTGAAGCTTAACTTCAAGTCTGTTTTTATCTTTTTGGTAAAACATTCCAGTAAAAACCAGAATATTGAGAATGAGCAGAGAACAGCCAACTGCAATGGTGACGCTGAGTGCCGTTGAATAACTACTTTGTTCAAACACGTGCGCTGAGCCAGTAGAATAGTTTAGGGACATTCCAGGAGTAGTCATTGCGAGAGGAGTGGTCGATGGGCCATTAGATGTAACATAAAGCACACTGGCGTTTATAGTGGAAGAAATACTAATATCTTCGGTAGAGATAACATTACCCTCCGATGTTGACGCTGCTAAATCAGTGGATAAGACAGCAACTTCATCGTATTTGTATGTGTTAGCATGGTCCTTAAGAAAACTGTGATGAGGGGGAGATCCGGCACCGCTTCTATGGAGTTTAGGGATTAGATTGTTCCAGAAAGACAACTGATGGGCACGATAATGATCACGGATTTTCGGCTTGGTTCCTAGGAAAACAAATAGACGGTGTAATGGTTATTACATTTTTGCTACACAATCAATTGCCATTTTTATGATTATACTATATCATCGTTGACAATTAAAAATCTGATCACTTATTAATTTATCATTATAGAATTATATCTACTTGAGTTGAGCGTTAACTGCAGTTTCTGAATAATAAAATTCATATAAGAATTACAGCGTCTCTGCAACAGATTTTCAAACGTAATTACTATTCAAAATCGATTAAGTAATTGAAGTACAACCTTTTTCTGTTCATAACTAACGGTGACGTCGAAACACGTAGTGTTTTTTATAATGGAGGCTCTTGACGGCTTCAATAAATATTGTTTCATTGTGCCCCCCAGTGACACAGCGGCTTGTCTGCGGACTTACAACGCTAGAAACCGGGTTTCGATACCCGTGATGGGCAGAGGACAGATAGCCCATTTTGTAGCTTTGTGCTTAATAACAAACAAACAAACACAAGCTTCACTGTGTACAGAAAACGTGATATTTTATTCATTTATTTGATTTGAAACATTACACGAGTGTCGATTATTCATACGTGATTAATATGTGTAGTATCTACATCTATGTGGAATATACATGGTTTTATCTTACATGTCAGACAGTTATTCAAGCCCCCCAGTGGCACAGCGGGATGTCTGCGGACTTACAATGCTAAAATCCGGGTTTCGATACCCGTGGTGGGCAGCGCACAGATAACCCATTGTGTAGGTTTGTACTTAATTACAAATAAACAGTTATTCATCTCAATATTATTGTATCTATATATGATTTTACTGAGAAGGATATTTGGTTGCATTTTGTAACGTATATTGTGTTATAATGATACTTGTCTTGAAATTCAAGATGAATCTTAAACTTCTTGATATTTATATATAAACTGTAATCTAAACACAAATGTAGGTTGGGATTTTAAAATTACTTAATTCTGTTAGAACATATATAACTGGTATATGCATAATACAATGATGCGAAAGAAAATTAGCGCTCTCATGGACTAGTATTGTTGACTGATATTTACCTGATTATTTTGTATAATTAACAGGCGGCGAATAATAGAGAAATCAAGTTCCTGATTGAGTTAGCCCAACAACGGATTTATACGTTTTTTTTTTAACCAAGTGTTCGATTTGTGGTGACGAGATTGACGTCAGTTGATAATCCTTATTGAGATAGGTTTAAATGGAGTGTTGTTGTTTTTGTTAAAGCTCTACGTAAAACTGATTTTTACCCTTTCAATCTGATAGTTCTAAAGGTAGTTACAGTTTGCTCCAAGTATTGTTGTTCCCTCACCCTTACATTATATTGTATGTATATCAATCTGATAGTTCTAAAGGTAGTTACAGTTTGCTCCAAGTATTGTTGTTCCCTCACCCTTACATTATATTGTATGTATATCAATCTGATAGTTCTAAAGGTAGTTACAGTTTGCTCCAAGTATTGTTGTTCCCTCACCCTTACATTATATTGTATGTATATCCCATGAAGAGAATAAAACAACGACAGATGTTAGCTTAATTTTGACTTAATTATCATTTTTAATTTTAAACAACAATGCAGTCTGTAAATCTTTCTTTGAGGGCCTTATTTACTTACAAATGTTTAAGACAAAATATTGCGTTGGAATGCTCAAAATGCTAAGATTAAACAATATTATCATAAAATATAATTGTTAAGTTTTCTTGTTATTGTTTTCGTTATCTTATAAAATTAATCTAATACACATGTTTAATCACAGCAAAACTTGTCATTTAGTTGTAAATCAATACTCCTCAATTTCATTTAGTTAATTAAAAATCTTAAAGAACACATAAAAATTACTTCTTCATTGAAATATCGTAGGTATTCAACTATTTACCTTCAAATGAAATTAAAACTATTTTTACATCCGAAAACTAGGGCTAGCTATAGTTAATCATCAATAAAAGAAAACAAAATCTGAAAGTAATATAACAAACCATTTTGTGTCACTTGTTCATAGTTGTGGGCACTTTTGAGCTCTTGTAATTTTAATCTGATTCAGTGATTAAAATCCATATTTTGATGTTAGAAATCATAACATTCGTAGGAAATAAGTTAAGAAAAGCTGTGTGAGCAGTAAAATAACTTACGTACCCAGACTCAAATATTTTTGGTAAACGTTTTCAAAGGCTGGCCACTCGATACGCTCGAAACGGCCCCTAATTCTGTCTTCTTCGTCATCTGGAATATTGGGATCACTAAGAATTCAGAGAAAACACTTTGTTAGTAATAATTTTGAATCTCCCAAAACCGACTTTTTAGCATTTTACTGATTCATAACAAATGTATTTCCATGAAAAAAACGTATGGCATGCAAAAACAAACTAGTTGTTTAGCACCAATGATTTCCGATCCGAGTTATTGAACCTGGTGTATATTTGAAAATCGTTATCGAGCAAGTTTATTTCACAAATCTTGAAAATAGGAGAAAAGGGGGCAGTTTCCAGGTCACAATTTTTAGCCTTAGCTGTCCAAATCTCAAGAAATATAGTTAAAGTTCAAATATTATTACAACGGTTTAAACTGTTGGAAACGCACGAGACACAGAGACAAAAAATAAAAATGCTTAACATATAACTACCCTTTCCCTCTCTCACATAATTAATTATACATAAATTATGATTATAATTATTTGAAGTATCAAGACAGAGAGATAGAAAAACGCGAAAACATATAATTCCCTTCCTTACGCAAGTAAATACATAAACATTATGGCTCTGACTATTAGCAGTACAAAATTAGTTGTTAATGTGATTCATATAATATAACGTGAGGTAATTAGTAAATGGTACGCGGTTTTTACGTATTAATTTCCTTCATACAAATTAACTTACAAGCCTTACAATTTACACGGATATTTCACTTCATATATATTGTACTTGTTGATTCAAATGGAAGTTTCAGTGGGTACGTTTATACCATAAAATCGTCTAAACACTTTGTAGTCAGGCTTGTTAGAGTGAACGAGTGCCAGGCTTGTTAGAGTAAACGGTTGTCAGGTTTGTTAGAATGAACGGTTCTGGTCAGTTTCCACCGTTAAAAGTTTGAATACCATAAACATTTTGTGAATTCTAAAAAATAAAAATGGTGGAGTTAATGAGCGACGTTTGCTATGAAAAATACTGAAGGGCAAAGTATACAATGAATGAAAATTGTTTGTTAAAAACATGGAGTAAGCTGACGTTTGATACTTTTTTAAATATCAATAAATCAAATTTATCGGTTTCTCTTTCGCATTACTGATAATAGTGAAATAATTCAAATCAAAACATGAAATTATTGGGTAGCTTTTTTTTTTTCTTGTAGTATACCTCACATTATGAAATACCTTGAAACCATTCAAACCAAAACAAAAAAACCTTGGATAGATTGTTATTTATTGGTCGTATACCTCACATTATCAAATACATTAAAATTATTCAAACCAAAAGAAGAACTCCTTAGATGGATTGTTATTTATTGGTTGTAAACTTCACATTATCAAATACATTGAAATGATTCAAACCAAAAGAGGAAACCTTTAGATAGCTGATTATATACCTCACATTATCAAATACATTGAAATTATTCAAACCAAAGGAAGAACCCCTTAGATGGATTATTATTTATTGGTTGTAAACCTCACATTATCAAATACATTGAAATGATTCAAACAAGAACAAGAAACCCTTAGGTAGCTATTTTTGTTTTGTTCTCTTATTTCTAACATATACTGGAACCCATTATGGTTATGAATATAATTAGAAATTGCTCGAGGTAATATTAATTTTAGATTTATATAAATTCACAGTACTCCATACTAAGATGTGAAATATCTTTAAAGACTTCTAAAATACACCTTTACATATAATCAAATAACACATGCATTAATCCGTGCGCTCTGAACGTAAATACTTTTGTTTTGTGTCGACTATACCAATAAACTTAAAACAGATAAATAGTGTTTCTCTGAATTAACATTCCACGAACAAGCAAAAACAAAACCAAGCAATGTGAAGGAAACAATATTAAAATTGAACTCAGTCATACAATTACAAATGCTTTGGCCTTGAATATGTCATTTACCTTACCTATATTAAATATTTTAATTTGACTTAAGTGAAACTATAGTGAAAACTGTATTTTTGTAGTTTATTTTTTCTCACCTTTCTTACCCATCGGAGGGCTTATAATGCCAAAAATCGGGTTTCGATATCTGCGGTGGGCAGAGTACAAATAGTCCATTGTGTATCATTGTGCTTAATAAAGAAAGTTACTGCTCCCCAGCGGTACAGCGGTATGTCTTTGGACTTAAAACGTTAGAAACCGGGTTTCGATACTCGTGGTAGAAAGAGCATAGATAGCCCACTGTGTGGCTTTGGGCTTAATTACAAACAAGCAAACAGAAAGTTACATGTGGCGATATTCGTCATTATGTAGTGATCGTGATTCCTAGAAAATAACTAAATGAAGTATTAAGATCTATAGCCTTAAGAAATTAAATCTTACTAACTCAGAGCTCTTAAAAGCTTCTTTGTATAGACGAATATGGTTTAATGCTCGAGTGGACGATACAATGTAGCTAAACACCAATATTTAAAAAGAAAAACCGCAAGACAGTGTACCCTATGTACACGCCATAAACGTTTCCAATCCCTCCTTTAATTAACAACTAGTTCCATTCAAGATATAAAAAAAAGAGATAGAAAAACAGCGAAAGAACCTTATTTACATGTTTAGTACAATAATTACAGAGTTTATCATTTAACTCATTTCTTCTAGATGCACTTCTCGGAACTCATCATTTTATCTCATAACGATTCCTATTTTGTTTTGGTGCATTTTTCACGATTTAGTTTTTACTCTGATCTTTACCAATTGCTCTGAACGCACTTTTCAGAATTCTTGGCGGTGTATTTTTCAGAACTCACCAATTACGGTCTATGACTTTCTTTGAATAGTCCTGCCAGTTTCTTTTTTTTTCTTTTACTTATCTGAGCTTATCAGTCACCTCCTCATTTTTACCGTTACATTGTAGTAAGGGGACATGGTTCAGCAGGTTTAAGTATGAATAATGTTAATAATGCCACAGGGCAAAGTTGTCTGTTTAATCCACTATATAACAAGATGTATATTTTGGTAAAGGACCTAAGATAATTACATAATTTGGGCTTATTTCTCTCTTTCGTTACTTGAAATTATATAAAGTTAATAGGAACACGAACTGCACATTTCTATACGCTTTTATACGCACGGAACTGGAATTTATGTTTTACACCAATTAATTAAGTGCTACAAACAGCTCGTATGATTAATAAGTAATGCTTTTAATTCTTCTAATATAAACTAGCCTCATAGTATATACATTACACGTTCGAAATCATATCAAGTGTCATTTCTCTCTGTTTTATGTCTGTATATCATATTGTTTTACAATTAATTTTACAAATCTAATCATTGTTTTGCTCACAACAGCACTGCTTTACGCGTAACTATTGTTTAGCAAAAACAAAACATCTTAATAACTTTATTTCTTTGCAAATGTTTGGTATACGAAAGGTGAAAAATTTGTTTTTATTACAGTCAGTAGATAAAATAATTAAGAAATATTACATAAGCATACAAATGCATGAGAGTGATAGGATAATTATTCAAGAAAGATAAGATTTCGTTATTATATATTAAACGAGTGTAAATAAGTCATCTTCGAGGAAACATTTCACTACAACAAATGTTCTTGATTTGGCATTGAAATTAAAGTAATGTTCAGCCACAACATACTCTGGTGATCCAGATTTCTAGTTTTCCTTTTATATAATACATTCAGTAAAACGTACGATATAATACTTTTCTAAGGTTTCTTTAGTACTTCTATCATTAAGGTCCACAAAGTATTCCATCAAGGATTCGTTAGCAGTGCTGTATTAAGCCCTATCTTTATGTTTTCCGTACAGACATATGGCTTTTCTTTTTGTTATTACTCGATGGTTCCACGTGAACTGAATATTGTGGAGCTTTCCACAATACCTGCTATTAAAAACCACGACTCTTTATGCGGGGTACTCGACTCGCAATCTGCGGGTCGCGGGTTCGAATCTCCGTCCCACCAAACATGCTCGCCCTTTCAGCCGTGGGGGCGTTATAATGTGACGGTCAATCCCAATATTCGTTGGTAAAAGAGTAGTCCGAGTGTTGGCGGTGGGTGGTGATGACTAGCTGCCTTCCCTCTAGTCTTACACTGCTAAATTAGGGACGGCTAGCGCAGATAACCCTCGTGTAGCTTTGCGCAAAATTCAAAACAAACAAATCTTTATGGGACCGCTGCTTAGCTTTCACTCAATAACACAATTAATCTATGTTTAATGAATGATTTTATGGAATACTTATAAAACAAACAACCATTAAAACTATTATATTTACTAAAAGCATTAAGGAATATGCTTGGCTTTTGTAAACAAATCTCCTGTGTTATAAAGAATAAAATGACGACCAAAATGTTCCAGTTATTTTACGCGAGAAACAAAAATTTGCTATATTTGTAAACTTTTGGAACTTAAAAAATAAATGAGGAAAGAATATTAAATAGCTTTAGAGTGTATGGTCTCAAAATATCCGTAGCATCTAGTTTGTTTAGAATAAATAAGGATATAAGTCATGCTAGATATTGCCGTCAAAAATGTATATGATATTTATTTTTATAAGATATGAACTCCAACAATTTAACAGTTTTTATACTGGATGAATGTAGTATTGTAAATACAACATACCTTATTCTCTTATATATCATATTTGCAAGATTTATAACATTTCCTGCGGTATTTCTTGGAACAGGTTAGATCCGGTTTTACTTTCTTTAGACTGCATGGTCAAGAAATTCATTAATTTTTCATGGATAGTTACATTGTGTTTTACTTTATCTTGCTTACAGAGGACAACCTTGGGACTGTCAATTGGAACAGGGACATTTCCGCATTCAGGCGCTGTTTTCTGATTGATCAGTTTACAAAATGTGTATATTCAATGAAATTAATTTTTGCTTTCTGATATTCGCCTCAAAGTTCAAGGAGAGAGAGTTCCAGACTTTGATTTGAGAGATCCAAGACTTATTGCTTATTACACTGATTGTACATAATTTAGTTTATTTCATCTCAATGTAATTCAATCTCTACTACACGACGCAATAGTCAGTACTATTACAGGATCAACCATATTTTTCTTTGAACCTCAATAAAGTGTTTCATTTTTTTATCTTGAGTTCAAAAACATCTCTTGTCTTTTTCATTTTACTGTAACAAATCATTACACCTGTTCTTCCACATATCAGATCTACAAACCTGTAGTTTTTGCGAAGATCGAGTGCTTAAGCGCTAGGTTTAACCTTGAGATTACCATAAGTCATGTATTATAGTAAAAAAAAATGGTTGTTAATATAGGAGAATTATCTGTAGTAATATGCTATTGTTGTAATAACTAAAATGCTAACAAATTTATTCTTCCATAACTTGTTTAAAATAGTCAGATATATTCGGGTAACCTGTGACGTTCATAAACCCTTGAAAAAGGCGTAAGCCGAAACGTCTGGTAGAATAAATAAACATTTATCTGAAGTTGTTTTTCATCTTCATTGAAAATGGTTTTCATCCGTCAATCAGCACTGAAAGCTTTCAAAAAATAATATGTTCAGGTAAGTTTCTTTGAATTTTCGTGCATATGTTTTGCATGTTGTATGACATTCTTGTTAATCGAATGTCGAAAGATCGTGAATATGTGTGTTAACTCTTTTAAGCAGGTGAAGCTTGCGCATGCAAAGGGCTAGAAACACTTTGACCCCGTGTCCAACCCGCCTGGGGAGAATCTAGCCCACCTAAAGTTGTAGCACAGGTAATTGTACAATTTGGAACGAGTTAGGGCTATTTTTCCCTCTGCAATTGTTATTTGATATAGTTGATAGTGTTGAATTTTGATATATCGAACTTTTAATGGTTTGTCTAAATTAATTACGTCTTTGTTCTGTTTGGATGTAAATCATCTCCCTTGTCTTTGTCTTGTGTGATTGCGTATAGAAGGACTTCTCAAAATCCCAGAAGCCAGTTAAAGTCGCATCAGTAATGTAGGCAGACCAATAAGTATGAAGACCTGCACATTTCTTGTGAATTTTTGTTTTGTATTATTTGTTCATTTCTATGTGTTTCTTTCCTTTTCTCTCCGTGTATTCGATCCATTCTCTTTGTAACATTTCCAGAATTAGCATTTTTGGATACCTTGGAACTTATTTGTCGGTTGTCATGGAACTGAACATCATATTACTTTATACTAGGAAACTTATATTACAGGGAAATCGAGTCTTTACTCTTGAAGACACGTGTTCTAGTAGTCTATTGATTGTTGTTCTAGATACAAGACCTGTTGTAATGTGCTATCGTTTTATATTGGGAAACATGTACATATTGGTTTCACTTTAGAAGACGTTGAGCTGGAGCAAGATATTGACTCCTCTGGGATTGTGTATCATTGACAATTTTCATTTTAAGGTTATTATAGAATCCACAAACATCTTATCAATAAATACACTATACTTCATGTCTTGAAAGCTGCAGTTTTGTAGTTTGTAGTTGTTTTGGTGCAGAGTTATGCAATGGGTTGTCTGCACTTTGTCTGCCACGAGAGATCAAACATCAGAGTTTAGTGATGTTAGTCCGTCAACCTACCACTGGGGGAACCTGATGGTTGAAAAACAATAAAATTTGTTAAGTTTAAAGTTTGATTCTAAAATCTTAGAAGCCATATACATTTTGATGTTTCATGGCAGTTCTAATTTATTCTTCTTATATGTCTTTTGTCTTTATTACTTTCAAAATAAAACAATCAATGAAGTATAGACTACATTATCAATAGCATTGATGTGATGGGCAATTATTAAGTTTATTAAGTTTCAACAGTGATGTATGGATGTTACTTTATGTGGAGTTCACTGAGTGATTATGAGATACTGCATTGATGCCACTGATGTTATACCAGACCTTCTTACTCTAGATTTTCTAAAAAAGAATTCAGTATGTCTTTACCCTTTTTTAGCGAAAGTGGACCAGTAAATCAGAACAGCCTGAGCTAGTGAGGTTTCCGAGCGCGAGTAGTTATGTTGGAAATGTGCAAGTTTCCCAACTAAAGGGATGCCCAAAACGTAAGGAAGGTCTTCCCCATGGATGCATCCGTATCTCTTAGGAAATTCGGAGTCTTCAGTTTGATGACCAAATACGAAAAGGAACGTTTTCTTACTTCCTTTGGCACGATATTTAGCAGCTTTAAATAGTGGTCCAACTACGAGACCATCACTGATTGCATGTGCTGTAGTTTCGAGGATGTTAATCGGATGTTCCATTGTTCTTTCCCAGTCTGTGTATTCGTTTTCTAGCACATAGAATATTTCTTTTAAATGATACTTGTACACATTCCTTACTAATTCTCGAAATAGCTTAGTTCGACGATCTTTGCCAATGCCATAACGCTCTTCGTTCGCCGAAAACTTGTAATAAAACTCCATTCGGGACACACCAAGTAGAAGATCATATTGGTTGTACAGGTTGTTGTAATCTTTCATCAAAATCTCAGGCTCGTTTGGTATTACGATTCCGTCAATGGTTGGTCCAAATGCTGTTAGATAGTCTGGAACGTCTAATTGAACGTTCAGTATTTGTTTCATGGGTCGATTTCTTAGACAGTCTATCATTATGACGTTGCTCTCATTTGGACACTTAAGTTTACTAGCCAATTGACGAGTGAACTTTGGAGCTTCTCTGGCTATAGCCCACGGACTCAGTGCCGATCCGCTGTGCATGACACAACGATGGAATAGCCCTGTAGGATTACAGATAAACTTTTAAATGAATAACAAACTGAATTTTAGTTGTGAATGTTTTGTTCTTAGACAAAAAACAACAAAAGCATCCTATTATCAATTTATCTATTTAATAATCTCAACGTACAATAATATATTTAGTACGAGTTTAAACGTACATCTTAAAACTAAGAGTAAACTTCGAAGTATGAACAGAGGCTTTTCTTGTTTGTATTATATTTACTAACTGCCGTAACTCTACATTATTTATCAAAGAAAAAATACAGTATATTTCTTAAGTTAAATGGTATAATCTTGGGTGCTTTATATGACGAAACTGTCAAAACTAACTTAACCACAAACAAGCGGTAAAAAATAATGACTGCTGTCCTTTTTTACATATCAACTTCTCGAGTAACGTTAATACTGAATAATATTTCATAATTATATTTGAAGATTATGAAAAACAAATTAACTCGAATCTAGTATATACATTGTTTTTCTTAAAATAAAATTCAAATAACAAATAAAGTCATAGATTATCGATATATATATGTATATATGATTTCAGTTCTAGTATGTAGTTAAGTTGTAATTTAAAATATCCACAGGTTTGTTATTAACTATTATACTCAGTTACAATCGAGATCCGCCCCCTCCCCCAGTGGCACAGCGGTATGCCTGCGGATTTACAACCCGTGGTGGGCAGAACACAGATAGCCCACTGTGTAGCTTTGTGCTTAATTACAAACAAATTACAAACAATACAATCGAGATCCAGGCAGACTCTGTTTATATATTTTCATGGCCAGGTGGTTAGAGCGATTGACTCGCAATCTGAGGGTCGCGGGTTCGAATCCCCGTCACACCAAACATGCTCGCCCTTTCAGCCGTGGGGCGTTATAATGTGACGGTCAATCCCACTATTCGTTGATAAAAGAGTAGCCCAAGAGTTGGCTGTGGGTAGTGATGACTAGCTGCCTTCCCTCAGGTCTTTCACTGCTAAATTAGGGACGGCTAGCGCAGATGACCCTCGTGTAGATTTCCGCGAAATTCAAGCCAAACAAATTTTAAACTGATAAACAAGAAGCAAGGAACTTAGTCAACAGCACCTACCGTCAACTCTTGTGTGACCGAAATGTATAATTTAATCGTCACACTCTTCAACGGCAGAGGGCGTTTTGCGACAACGGATCCCGTACTGGGAATCTTCAGATTTACACTCTGGGCACGCTAACCAATAGGCTATGCCCTGCTTGGTCTTTGATTGAAAATCAGAGTGTCACTGGATGTGGGTAACACTAAGTTACAAGAGTAGCAATGATTATAATAAACCACATTGAATAAAAAGTTCAGTTACTAGATAGTGTATCTTCGCCCGTTGTAATTACTTCCCCTGTTGTAAAGCCAAACGGTAAGCCGTACGTTAGTGAAACAAAACTTTTGGAAACAAGCAAAGAGGAACATAATTATTTAGAAATATCCAAGGATTTAAATATTCAGTATTGAAGGATTGAAATGTGTACCGGGTAGTTTTTTTTGTAATAAATTGGTTTAGGTTACTAGATTAAATGTCATATGTTTAAATGAACTCAGAAATGCACTATATGCTGCAACTATATAAAAACAATTATTCTAAGAAAATTTAAATTTTTATCATTGTGGGTTTCTCTAAGCTATTGTTGAACTTCCTGCTTCAACGTGAGAGCTAATTTGAATATAATATTGTATCATCCTGTTATTTAGGCTGGCACTGTGTAACATGCTGTACAAAATCGTATTTGCTAAAACAGTATAATTCACAAAATCACTAATTTATGATAACATTAGATAAATTACACAGGCCTGCGAATAAAAAAGATCATAAAAGTTGTTTGGTCTTAATGAGAGCCCCCCCCCCCTAATGGTACAGCGGCATGTCTGCAGACTTACAACGCTAGAATCCGGGTTTCGATACCCGCGGTGGGCACAGCACAGATAGCCCATTGTGTAGCTTTGTGCCTAATTATAAACAAACATTTAATAACAGATTTTCCATAATTCAGCTATTAAAATGATTTTTTTTATCACGTAAGAATTTTTTCCAAATCGGGAAGAAAAAAAAACTCTTACTTAGATCAAATTATTATTTCGTTTACCACAATGAACGTTTTTTGTTATTATGTTTGTTATGTTTGGGTTCTAGAACGATCGACATGACTCTCACGTCGCGATTGGTCTAGAGAAATCTATAACAAAATATGACCCGATTTCAATGAAAATTATTCACTTGTATAAAAGTACGTATGATGTTTTGTGAAACTTCTGTACGTGATGGAGAAAAATTTGTATCATTTTCGGATTCAGCGTACAGGAATTACTGTAGAACACGTAAATATTTCAAGACAATAAAACCATCGCAGGCCTGTGTTATCAGAATACTGTCTGGTGTTGCAGTGTTTACTACTATGAAAAAAACTGTATATCGCACAGTATCTATACTTAAGATATCTTTTCGTTAAAAATCACGCCAAAAAAAGTTTTGGAGAGTTCCCGTTCATGAAGATGTTATCCCTTATCAATTGAAGAAATCTTATGTTTATAAACATATGAAGCACTTTTTAACTTATCTACAATAAATATAAAAAAGTCAACAATAATACTGAAATAAAATGATTGCTTCTTAAAGAACGTTGTTTGGCGGGAAAAGAACTTAGAAAATGGCATATGCTTTGTCATGCATTTTGTAACAGAGTATGACCATGTATTTTGCAACTGTTGTGTGAACGAGATAAAGTAAATTGTAAAATTAACAATCACAACCCGTACGTTTTAAGTCACGTTCTATAAATGAGCTAAAAGTAAAAAAAAAAAAAAGACTTCCCAATTCTTTACCCAACGCTGAAATTTAGAGTCAGAAGCAACTATTGCCTTCCAGTTTCATGTCTTTAACGACGTAACACGCAAATGAAGCGAAATATGAAGTAAGAGAATCTTTGTGTTACCTTCCGCCATTGGTGAGATCATCAAGAGGTTTACGAATGCAGCTCCATGGCCATGCCCTATAATAGTAACATTACTAACATCTCCACCAAAGACTGACACGTTTTCCCGTATCCAGTGTAGAGCAGCCACCTGATCCATTAGGCCGTAGTTACCACGAGTAGCTTCCTCTAGCGCTGGTAAAAATCCTTTAAAATATCGGATATATAAATATACACATATTTACAAATATGTAGTTATTTCCTCTAATAGAAAAACAAAATTTCCAGTAAATATGTGAATGTTTAATAATATTAACGAGATCGTTAACTTCAGAACATATTTTATTATTATTTTTTATCTAAATTTCATAAATAATGTTAACATATACAAACCGAAAATTCCGAGGCGAAAGTTTAAAGTTATAAAGATAACATCAGCAGTACTTGATAAAACACTGCCATCATATAAATTTCCGGAATTCCAGTTGTAAGAGTCTCCTTGAATGAAAACCACCACTGGAACTTTCACATTGTGGTTAAGAACTGAAAAAAACACACAAGAAAAACATAAATTCAATACTCATAGACGTCATTATATATCCTTAGCTGAAAACTGTACAATTTGAGCTTAGATTTGAAGTCACTGAAATAAAATAATCATGTTTTAGTTGTTTCAAGGTATATCAGTTGGAAGAGAAGTAATGGTATGTTTAAAGTTTGTAAACACATTTGTTAATTTCAAAATATGATGAAATTTTGGGCGTTTTAAATCAACAGTACCAAAAAAAGTGGCTTTAAGTTTTTTATTGAAAATATGAAAATGCTTTCACCAAAACAAACCACCTGCAAGCTCATAATACATATATCAAACATTTACGCATCATCTGTACGTGTTTATGTAACAATAATATTTTTACTGACTTTAGTATAGTGTACCAAAAACTTTAAAATACAAGTTCTGACAGCCAGGGACTGACTAATGTAATGCAGCTTGGAGGCTATTGGAACAGTAGCTAAGATATAGCTTTCATGACTCTCAGAAAAAAAAAACCAAAACATCACTGATGCATTCATATACGAGTCCTTTCTATAAAGCTGCATAAAACGAATAGGCTTAACTTTCATTTACAATCGTTAATACAGCCCGTATTTTCGTGATGCATTGAAATATGAAATCTCTATAAGCGCAGGTTTAGAATATGTTTTCGTTTTCTTCACTAGTCTCATGCATATTTATTGTATATAAAAATATCAAAATAAGGAATCGCTTTTTAAAACATCAAACATATTATATGCGGTTGGTCATACAAATATATCTATACATTATTTAAAACTATTGATTATCTGCAACTAAATTGCTTTATTATTACTTGAGTAAAAATGTGTATGAAGGATTATTTATGTATTTTTACATTATTGTCAGGAGTATCCTGGCTGCCTAATTGTACATCGAGAGATAGATTGTCAGATATGCGGCAGAATGAAAAATGGTTAGAATCTACCTCATAAATATATGTTTTTAATACAACCGATTACAAATGCAGTAAATAAATACACAATCTAATACACATACACTTTGGTCGATGTATTGATGGTGGAATTTCCACCTAAAATCGGCTGAATAGATACAATTTCGAAAACTTTTGCTAACTAATAAACTAATAAGGTTAGTTCTATTACGAGATTACCTATAGTTGTAGACAAACACTTGCGTGCTTAGCCTAAGTCTACTCTCATTACCTTAATGCTTGGACATTTATTTATTCACTAACTCATTTAATTATCTCCATTTGACATTAAAGCATCAAACTCAGGAAACATGACATACAAGTGTATCTGTACGTGCACAGAATACTTGAATATTTGCAGATGGATAAAAGCTTCTACTGCTCAAATTTTATTATATCTCAGTTAAGGAAATGTTAAATTTTTATAAAAAAAGCGTAGAGGGATTCCACACATAAAAAAGTATTTTCACTTGCGAAAGTGAAAAGCTTTAGCTGTGTAACAAATTAAATAAAGAAGAACAGAAGGTAACAAAAATGTCACAGCAAAGATCTAATTGGGAAAAAAAGAATGTCTTTTTTTTGAATATTAGGTATTGAACATCTTTTGAAGATTGTTTCCACTGTGTAAAGTGTAATAGAAACATAAAAATGCTGACATGTTGTCGTAAAAATTGTAAACAAATTCACCGAGAAAAACTATAGGATTCAATGAAGCTTGACATTCAAGATATCGTTAAATTCACAGAAAAGGAAAAGTTTCAAGTTATTCCTAAGCACGGCTTGGCAGGGCCTGATGGTTTGGGCAATCGACTCGCAATTTGTGGGTCACGGGATCGAACTCCGTCACCGAACACGTTTGCCCTTTCAGCCGTGGAGACGATATAATGCGACGGTCATTATGGGCCCGGCATGGCCCAGATGGTTAAGGCACTCGACTCGCAATCTGAGGGTCGCG